CGAGCGTTTGCAGCAAGCGGGGAAACAACTGGTCCAGGCGTTTTCAACGGCCAGACGGATCCCGCTGCCGGCAGAGGGCGAGAAAATACAGTCCTTTCTTTTGGAAAGGGATTCCTCCTCCTCTGAATCCTATCTGATCACTGACTTGGATGATAGGTCGAAAAGCCCGCCAAATCGTGAGACAAGCCACCCTATGCAAGACGGCAGACGCACAGGAGAACTGCCCTTTGATCCACGAAACATAACGCAGTCTGCAGTGCAGATGCCACAGTTGCATCGCTGATGGATAACAAGCCACAGGAATCATGCGGAGGCACATCAACATGGAAATGCGCCGGATTGGTGCAATGTTTCCTCGAGTCAATCACCGTCGCAATCAAGCCAACACGAAGAAGCAATCACCATGGCTACTTTTTTAGAAGAAAAAAATACAGCAACCCCACGGCAGCTCGCAGCTTTTATTGTCTTGGTGGCCTCTTAGTAGGCCATGATATATATCTTACCTAGGACAAGCCTAGGTGAGGGGCAGACACGGCAGACCCAAAAGCAGCAGTCGTCACATTTTCATATCCATCGCCCATATCCCATGTCATAATACACCTCTGCTATTGGAACACAGGACCCGGTTTCGAGTACAGAGCGAGGAAACTCGACGTCGGGAAGTGCCATGCCCTCCCTCCCGCCACCTCCGCGCCCCGCGGGAAGGGAGAAAACGAGACAAACGGTGCCGACAAGCTGTGCTACCGCAAAACCCCACGCATGAACAAGTGCTTGGCTGCCCTTGTTTGAGGAGGAGGGGCGGGGAATTTGATATGGGCCGCAACGGTATCACAAACAGTCGCAACGTCCCTCGTTTGTCGGTCCCTGATCACGTCGTCAGCATCTCTCCCTTTTTTGGAGTATTGAGCGGTGAAGAATCAAAGAATTTTCATCAGAGAAGAAAAGGCGAGAAAAAGCAACATGACCCCATTCCGATGACAGGCCAGGACTTCCAGGCCTGCCTGGCTGGTGGTGTTTTCGTGTCCCTGTCCGCAGTGCGGGGGACTGCAGATGTGAGGGTCCGAATTGGGAAGGATACCCCTGGCTAAGCCTGTTTGAGACGTTGCATTGGTTTACGCGATGAACCTGCTTGGTCAGCAGCAGCATGAGGCCATCGCGAGTTGACCTTTTTGGTATGCCGAAGAATCCGGGAGTTGGAGTGACGGTGATGATTTTCTGTCATTCAACTTCAGTTGATCTTCTCTATAAAAGTGCCAGCTATTGATAGCGTCAAATTTGGTGTGAAACGGCCACTTATGCCGGCGCCGTGAAGAGGCTTGGCTGGTGAAAGGTCCAAGCACCGTTGCGATCCACCGCGTCCACGTGGGGTCAAGGTTGAGAGCTTTGTGAAAGAAAATAAAAAGAGCGGCCGTTTTCTGAAGTTTGACAAGTGGCAGTTGGTGATGAGAAGTGAGACTCACACATACAGACTATCTCTATCGGAGTTTCGCCAATCGAAGCCCAACGTCAATTCAAGATCCAAAGTCAATCAATCAATTGCTGTGGAATGGAGGCGGGAGCTAGTGTAATAAGAGATTGGCTGGCTGGGTTGTTCCATGCTCCTATCTTATCGTTGCCTGCCGGCTAGTAGTCCCCACTGAAAATTGCGATAAGGCTTACTCGGCGCAACGCGATCCCAGAAACGTCAAGCACCGATTCAACTCTTTCATCATCAAGCTTTCCAGCTCCAAACATTCTGTATACACCATATCGCGTACCACATGCTATAGGCCGTTACAATGGCCGACTCCTCATTGCTCACCGACCTGTGCACCATCTGCCACGCCGAACCCCCGAAATATACCTGCCCGCGATGCAAAGCCCAGACCTGCTCTCTCGCCTGCAGCAAGAAACACAAGACTCGCGCCAGCTGCGATGGCGTCCGCAATCCACGAGAATACATGCCAATTCACGAACTGCGCACCCCTAGGGGTATTGATCACGACTTCAACTTCCTCTCATCCATCGAGCGCGAACGTCTGCGTGCCGAGCAAGACATCGTCGAGGTCCGCCGGCTGATGGACGCCAAAGAACTACACCCACCAACCCCAGCAGAAGAACAAAAGCTTTTTCGCAAAGTATGGGACGGTGACAGGTTAAGCTTTGAGCCTGTAGAGAACAATACCCAGCACAATGCCATCGTGGCCCAGCTGCGCCGTCGGCTGAGAAACCTCGACATTGAGGTGGTGTACATGCCCAAGGGGATGAGCCGGCAGCGGGAGAATAAAACGTCGTGGAATAAGAGGACCAATGCGATAAACTTCCAGGTCGAGTGGTTGATTTATGATTCTTCGTCGCAGCAGAAGCCATTGAAGGTGCTGTATAAGGCGCTGGAGAATATACCGCTTTATTCGGCGTTGACCAATACCGTCATTTGGCATAACGGGCAGCTGGATCGTCTTGTGCGCGAGGCAGATCCGGAATATGATGAGAGGAACCCGTTGAAGAAGCCGAAGGCGGAATACATCCCCGTTACGATTCAAGGCCAGTCTACACCAGCGTGGTCATCAGCACCATACTGCTTCCAGAACCCGCTGGACTCAACCTGGTTTTCGTTCTCGTCGGCACCCTCTGTTGAGTCGACACCAGAAGAACAATACCATAAATACAGCTTTTACCTAAAGAAAGCCACGAAAGAGGCGCCCAACAGCAGGACTTTGATCCCGCTCTCCCCGGACAGCAATTTGAAAGATGCGCTGTCCGGAAGAACAGTAGTTGAATTCCCTACCATTGTCGCCATTCAACCCGGCTGCCCCCTCCCACCGTTACACGAAATAGGGGACTGGACGCCCCGTCCCCCACCGCCACCGCCGGCACCCAAGCCTGTGAACGAAAAGAAAAGAACGCTTGAGAAGGGTCCTAGAGGGAGGGGTGGTCGAGGCGGCGGGAGGGGTGGGAAGAGGGTTAAGTTTGAGAAGGGGCAGGATACGAGGGGTGTTGAGAAGGAAGAAAGTAGCTCGGACGAGGAGGGGCAGATTGATGAGGATGAGGGTGTGGAGATGGAGGATAGGGGGCAAGGGATCAGGATTGATAAGGATGAGAATGGGGTTTTGAAGGTAGATTTGGGGACGGGGGGGATGGTGAATATGGATGATGTGGCGAGGGCGATGGCGATGGATCAGGAGAGGTGGGAGGAGGAGAAGGAGAAGGAGAGGAAGACGGTGAAGTTGCCGGGTGGGGGGTGTTTGGTTGATTACGGGAGTGATGAGGATTGATCGGGATGTGGAATTGCTGTGATGTTGGGTGAGAAGATGACATTTAGAAAGACGTTAACAGGCACATATGTGACAGTGGCTGGCTGCATTGATTGTGTGCTTTGTTGTTCAAGAGAGTGCTGGCGTGGAATCCATAAAGGGCATTCTCGTCTTCCACTTGTTAGGTGCCCTACAAACTACTTGACGGCAAGACAATGGAAACCGACAGGGGACTCTACGCTTGAGACTGCAGGTCGAGAAGAGAATATTCTTGATTATTGGTTGGTGTTTGATGGACATGATGATATAACAAAAGACAGGCTTACATCTAGATTTTGAAGAGGGTGGCAAGAACACGGCGTGGTTTGATGTAAATTATTGGATTACGGCCTCTCACACCATGCTCTAGAATGGAGTTTCTACACTTAGCAAAAGGTCGTAGGTGATGTTGAGTGTCTAAAGTGCGAAGTTGTCCGTAGGTGTTATTTCGTGAGAGAGTATGATGGGTGTCTAGTTGGTGAACCAAGGTACTTCCAGGATGGAAGCAGATGACAAATAAAGGCTCTGCATTGATAGGAGTCGGTGGCTGAGGTTGTGCGGTGATGATCTGTTCATGATGGGCACTACTATCTTTGACGAAGGGGTAGTAACTACTTATGACCAATATTTCAACGAGGTGGACAACCCATTGCGGTGCCTCGACAGTTGCTGAAAACCGACGACAGTAAGACATAGTTGCTTCAGGCAAATTCCGCTGTGTACGATGCAGTCAGCATTTAGCCGTGCTGACCAACAGTCAGGACTTGCTCCTTGCTTGATGGCTTTCCTAGTGATGGTACGAAGGGTATATATACCCCCCCTTCTGTGCCGACTGACATCCTGATGATTGGCAGGTTTTCATCCCGGCGGTGCAATTGGCTGTTGCGACGGTCAGGATTGCCTACTGTGCCTGGCGTTCTTGGGTTGAAAATTCTCTGGGGGTTGGGATACATTCTTGTGAGTCGATGGGTTCGAATTCAGAATCTAGCTTAATGAGCTCGGTTTTTTGGAGATGGTTGGGGGTGGGTCTTAGGTTTGTGAGGTTGGGGGTTATAATGTGGTTGTCTGATATGGATAGGAAGGGGTCGGAAAGTAGGTTTGGGTATCCAGGGGGACTCTTGAGGTATTTTGGATGAAGTTTATGGTTTGTTAGAGTATGAAGTACCAGTTGGGAATGCCCTCCAGCCGATGTATTGAGTGTTGACATCAATGCGAGGAACTGTACGCCAGGTATGCCAGGTGAAAGTCAAAGGCAGTACCGTTTCCAGCCCCGTTGAATGAGGCTACGGTCTTATGGCTAAATCGATACAACCTTTACGTTTCATTACTTTTGAGATGGGAGGCACCGTGGTCAAATTCACAGCTTACTCTGCTGCCAAAACACAGCAGACTACGTTGGAGACATCAAGCACATCACCTAGCGCCGACATGTGGACTTTACAGATCCATATCAAATCACGACCAAGTGATGGTAACGAGTCGTGTTGTGAGATCAGTCGGCCTTGGCGCATTGTAGCTGTCTGTGTGTAATTATCACGATGCGCTTTGCACCCACACATGGGTGGAGTTTTACACATGAGGCAGTCACGACTTTACTAATAGGCTTGCTCCGTACACCAACAAAAACACCCGGGTATTATTATCTTTGCTTCCAAACAGAACGACAAAGAGCCTCCCTCCATTCCATTCCATTCCATTCCATCATCATGCAGCCGTCCTCTCCTGCGCTCAGGCGCCCTTCTCATGCTCCTTGACAAGGTACTCATCCAGCTTGTCCCACTGGCCCTTAACCTTGTACGCTGACGTCCAGTAGTTACCCTTCTCATCCTTCCCAAACACAAAGAAACCATCGACAGGCTTGATGGGACCGTGGTTCTCCTGAACGTATGAAGGCCGGCATGGTACACCTGGCTTCTGCACCTTGCGAGCAGGAGCAAAGTCGAGGTTGAACAAGCCCGCCTTGGACCAGTTGGAGAAGCCAATCTGGGCCATGCCGCCGTCGCCAAAGATGACAATTGGGAGACCAGGCCCTTCACGCACCATGGCGTAGTAGGCCTCGTGCTGAGCCCGGGTGCCTTGTTCGTTGATGGCCCGCCGTACTTGTCTTGCGAGCCAACTGAGGGGCTTGGTGTTGACATCACCAGCAGTGACGAGAACGTTGCCCCAACCGAAAGCATTGCCGACATAGGGACTCTTGGATGCCTCAGGGATCAGGTCACCTTCGAATGCCTTACGGAGCGACATGGCAATGGATCCAGCCACTGTCCTGTTGGGGTCCATGTCCTGGGGCCCGACAACTGACTTCATCGTCCAGGCAGTGAGGATGTCGCCTTCAGTCAGGAAGACCTTGGATGGGTCCTCGCCCTTTTCGGTTGCTTCAGCCCGGAGCTCCTCGATTGCTTTCTCCATCTGCGTCTTCCAGTACGATTGCGGAATGCACACCATGCGGTTTTCCTTGGCCCGTGCCAACATATCGAAGCCATATCCGAGACCCCATTTGAGCATACCGCCAATTCCAACCTTCTTGTCCATCAACAGATGGGGCTCTGTTGGCTTTCGGGTTCCTTTAGCCAAAGCCTCGAACGGGTCGCTGTCCAAACCGCAGGGCGTGGGAATCTCGTGCTCCTTGCCCCAGAGCATGTTGCTCCAGCCCTCGACGACATATTGCATACCCAACGCATCGAAGGCAACATGCTGCCATTGGAGAACGGCAATGGTTTTGTCGGTGAAAGAGTTGACACGCAGACCTAGGACGGGCATGTCAGAAGTGAGATAATCGCTGATGCCGCCGGGCCTGTGACCAGGCTCGAAAGCCAAATCAGCGAGGTCGTCAGGGTCCGCGACAACCGCCGGCCTAGTGGACGGTTGCGGGATTCGCGAGGCAGCTGGGTGCTGGGCGGCGGGGACTCCGTGATCGACATGGGCGTAGTTGATGATGGGACGGTCAGCTGAGAAGACAGTAGGGATATGCCACTCGATCGCTCCGGTTGTTGGGTTCTTCCGGAGACGTCCTCCAAGTCTCTGCCAGCCTTCCCTCTTCACAAGACCCTCGAGGGCTTGCTTCAACTTTTCTGGCTCCAACACATCGTCGAACACAATAGATACGGCCATGTTGTTGCCCTGCACCAGCGGGCCGCTCTCGAAGAAATGGAGCGGCACCACCCGGTCGGTATCGACCGTTGGGACGGGTGGCTTCCCGCTACCGAATAGTTTGTTCATCTTTGTCAGCGGATCGAAAGAAATGAGCGACTGCCGTTGCTGAGAGCGGGCCAGAATCGAAATCGTCAGAGAAATAGGGGGAATAGGCAGAGGATATCGCCACAGAAAGAAAACACAGAGTCGCAGCCTTCAATCTCGTCAACGTCTTTGTTTCTTTTTATCAGCTTCTCTTGCAACGCAACGACACGGGGGAATCGTGCGAGTAAATCATCGTGTTTGGCCACGACGAAACCACAATTTCGGCCTCTCGGGGCCCTCGGTCCACGGAATCATTGCCCTGCGGTCCATCGTGTGGCCTCGCTTATGGGAACGATAGCCCCCTTGGAGTTTGGGGGTGCCTGGCATCTCGTCCCCCAGACAAGGGCTCTGCAGATGTGATTTTGCTTCTGCTGATGCCGTTAACCGTTTTCGGTAGCCGCTACGGATTTGCTGCAGCCAACATCACGCTACGGCGTGGGAAAAGGGGTGTTTTCGTTGCTTTCCTGGATTCCTGGCACGGTTGCCCCTTTTCCCCGGCTGATGATCTCTGGCAATTCATCGTTTCCTGCCAACCACTGCCAGCAAAATGGCAACACGGGGAACCCGGCCGCCTGGCCCCGGTCCCTACCGCATGCCTGCCGAGCCGAAACTAACGTGACGGCGCCGTCGCCCGTCGCACGGATTATGGGTCCCGTACTTGGGTCCCACTCTCAGACGTTCCTCGGTGCCAAACCGTGGGATTGGGAGTGGGATATGAGGGAAACTCAGGGAAATCGCCAATTGCGATTCGTTTCAAACCTCTGCTTCTTTCCAGTAGCGCGGAACTATCAACCCACTTCCTGCATGCCAAATCACCTTTTGTTCAACCAGCAATAGCACTTCAAGACCATGATCCTGGAGCTACACTACCGAGGAATCAAGAAGCGACGGAAGGCACAACCGAATTTGCTTTTTCTAAAACTCTTCTCAGCAAGGGTCCTTGTCGCCCTCGTGCCACCCAGGTGACGATGGCCTTGTCCGAGCTAGATTGGCAACAAAACTGGGCTCATGCCCATCTTGGGACTGGAATCTGGAGTTGATCCTTGTGGACTATGTTTATGACGGTTATTATACGGCCAAAACACCATCGAATTCTGACGGCACCGAGTCTTGACGACACGATTTGATATCGAGATAGTGACAGAGAGGAAAAGGCAGACGACACAGAAAAGATGGATCCCAGTCTCCTCCCAGAACCGACCCAGGATATTGGGCAGTTGGGCGCCCCGTACAATGACCTTCAAATCGGCACAATGGTCGCCTTTGGGATAACATACTTCATGGCGACATTCTTCCTGGCTTGCCGATATTTCCAGGCCATCAAGATAGTAAAGAACGTCGAGATCGATTTGAGTAGGTTGCTCTGGTTGTCGTCTTGCGTTCATCACTGACCTGGTTTTTTTTCTGCACAGTCATCTTGACACTATGTTATGGCCTTGCACTAGCCTACTTCATCACCATGGTTAAGCTGATGGACTATGGGTGGGCGCGACACATGACGGAGATCTTTGCATCCAACTGGATGAACCTACTCGAGTTCAACAACAAGCTGCTCCCCAACACGCTTATCTATCTCATCACACCGGCTGTGACCAAGATAGCCATGTTGACTGTCTTGTTCAAGATCAATCCTTCGGCCACATACCGTATCTGCGTTGTGGTTATTGGAGTATGCATTTTTGCCTACACTTTAGTGCTGACCTACCTGACCGGAGGGCCCTGCACGCCGCTCAAGGGTGACGAGACGATCAAGTGCTTGATGAACGTTGCCATTTCGCAGTCAGTGTTGAACATTGCGTCTGACATTGCCGTCATCTTGCTTCCCATTCCCACTATTATCAGCTTGCAGCTGAGCTTCAAGCAGAAGTTATCTGTAGGAGGTATTTTGGCTCTGGGCTCTGCGTATGTTTTTGCTCCTCTCACTGCCTCATTACCTCCGCATCAAACTGATCGTTGTTCCCCACAGTGTCGTCATCTGCTCCATTGCGCGCCTGCCCTATTCCATCTCCCTCGGGTCATCAGATGATCTCTCCTGGGAAGAAGGCATTCTCGGCATCTGGTCCATCGTGGAGGTCAACATCGGCATTGTCTGCGGCTGCGCCATGAGACTCAAGAAGCTCGTCACGGCCTACCTGCCCAGAATGGGCTGGAACAGCTCGCAAAAGAAGTCGACGCCGTACGGCAGCTCATGGGGTGGCACCACTGCTACGGGGTCAAAGGGTGGAAACAAGACTTTTGACGAGGCAAACGGTTTGAAGGGGGATTACCAATTACACAGCGTGCAGAAGGGTGGTCTGGAAGCCGGGAGCACGGATACGATTCTGAAATAAGGCATCACCGAAGGAAGGGTGTTGATGAGGAGTCGAGGGCACATATATGAACACAAGGGACAACAACAACAACAAGAACAGGACCGAAGACAAGGAACAACAAACGTGTCGACGGGATGGGACAGATATGGAGGGTAAAATTGGGGTAGGAGCGTTTGTTATTTTTTGCCTTGCTCGGGTATGCGTTTTTGGGGTTTGGGGGTAGGCCCCGATTAAAAGAAGAGAATGTTTCTTTTGTGTAATAATAGTATATATATGGCCATAGACTTGGAAAGTTTAGAGAGACAACAACAATCAAGTAAATTTAAAACAAATGAGCTTGCCTCTATTGTGACGAATGCTCACTGGGAAGGACATAAGCGCAGCCTAGGGACACTCGCTTGTTGGTGAAGTCCTCAATGTCAGTCTGCTTACATATTGGTCGACTAAGAACACGGCTGGCTGGACCGTCAACTACAAACAATAATGTATTCTTCCTCAGCAAAGTTCTAATTATCTCGGGCGGTGATAGGCTCATGAGTTTTATGTCTTATTCAGAGCTTAGCTCATCGTGAGCTCGTCACCACTCTTTTCGCCCTCCGTCGCTTTTCAACTGATTACTAACGTGCTGTCAGCGGTGCGCTAAGCCCCTTTGGGCTAAACTGACCCCGCCACCAGCTCTTTTCCGGCAGCTTCATCGATCTGACAGCAACGATGATGAGGGAAGGGGGATGGGGGGAGCCGGGGGGGGGGGAAGATTCAAGAGAGTTCTTGAGATAGCGGGTTGTTCATCATTTATAAATCATTAGTCCACTTTGTCTTTTTTCTTGTGATCCCAGTGATTTTCACCATCCGCTCACAGATCTATAAGAAGCTGTGACCTTGAGATAATTTCAGATGAAGACTTTTTCTTGGATATCTTCACTCACGGTTGTGCTCGTCAGTGTGCTTTTTGCTTACTTTTATACCACCAACCCAGCCTTTGAGCTTGAGCACATCAAAAACATTGACATCCCTGCCTCGTTGGACATCCTCAGAGAAAACATCAAGAACTACTTGAACCTCACCTCTGCCACCCCCTCATCAGACATATCCTCACCACCACCCACCGCCACCACCACCGTCATCACACCAGCCCAGCTAGCAACAATGTCCCGCATCACCCTCCCCCGCCGCATCCTCAAAACCCTCCTCGCAAAGCAGCAGTCCGAAGGCGCAGGCGCCACAGTCCGCCGCTCCATCGGCACCCCCTCCCTCCGCTCCCTCAACCCCTTCCTCATGCTCGACCACTTCTCCGTCTCCCCCGGCGCCGGCTTCCCAGACCACCCCCACCGCGGCCAAGAAACAATAACCTACCTCCTCACCGGCGGCATGGACCACGAAGACTTCGCCGGCAACCGCGGCACCCTCAACCCGGGCGACCTCCAGTTCATGACCGCCGGCAAAGGCATCATGCACGCCGAGATGCCCCGCCAAAACCCCGACGGTTCCCCCAACATCGGCTTGCAGCTCTGGGTTGACCTCCCCAAGGAACTAAAATACTGTGAGCCACGGTATCGGGATCTCAAAGCGGAGGAGATACCCACCGTCATCACCGAAGACGGCAAAGTCAAGATCAAGGTTATTTCCGGCAAGTCGTACGGTGTCGAGTCCCTCAAAGATCTAGCGTACACACCCGTGGTGTTCTATGACGTGGAGGTCCAACCGGGGGGGAAGATCGAGCAGGAGGTTCCCCAGGGGTGGCAAGGGTTCGCTTATATTCTCGAGGGGGCAGACGTCACTTTCAGTGACGGGCAGCAAGAAGAGAAGAAAGTCTCACAGTGGCACAACGTCGTTTTTGGCAACGGAAAAGAAGAGGATGGGGTTGTTGCACGGGTGGAGGAGACCGAGACAAAACCGGGGAGGTTCGTCCTGGTTGCCGGGCAGATGATGGATCAGCCTGTTGTGCAGTATGGTCCTTTTGTGCTCAACAGCCAGGAGGAGGTCTACCAGGCGTTTGTCGACTACCAGAGCCACACCAACGGGTTCGAGAGGGCAAAGGGGTGGAGGAGTGAGATTGGGAAGAGTATGGTTCATTAGTGGGGGAAGAATGACTGGAGGAGAGGGGGTGTTAAGCAGGTGTAGATAGTCTTTGTTTGAAGCGTGTACATATCTGTTTATGGGTTCTGGCTTGAAGTAGCATGTGTGAATATGGTGATCTTCCCGCAGTTGAGATACGTAATTTGAGAGCATACCCCCAGGTGCCCAAGTAAGAACGATCACGGTCGACTCAAATGTCATGCTTCCTGTTAGTTCTAGTTGTGCTGCGGCATGAGTAGAAGACGTCATTTGAGAGAATTTCCCTGCTCGTAGACCACACTGGTGATAAGAAAATGGGAGAAACACCATATGAGAGGCGCGCTTATTGAAGCATCGACCCTACCATACACTCCGAGAGTTGAGAGACTCATGAGGGGAGAAATCACAATCACGCAGAGCAGAAAAAACAGTAAAAGCCCAGAATACCAGCCTCGACGGCTGAATATCTTCTTTATTTTTTGGGAATCCCCACGCATATCGCCGCAAACCAGGGAGGCCATTTAAACCGAGACCTCCCTGCGCCCATGCTGTCTGATTTCAGCACGCTCGTAACTGAGCACATCAACCTAAAAAGACACACCCCTTCAAACCTCAGACGCTAATTGCATCTACCCAGTAATCCAGTCCCGATAGATGCAGCCCTAGCCTCGATGTAGGAGCCAAAGTCTGAGGCGCCCTTTCGCCCTGCCTGTTGCGAAGTATCGTAAAAAAGCAACCTTCGCTAAGTCATCATAAAAACAAAACGTTTTCCCGTCGTAGCTTCGTCCTTCCAACTCCCGTCCAGAAACAAACACCAGGCTTGAGATTCCCATGCCGCCAATGAGAAAGAAAAAGTGAAATCCCAGATCCAGGTATTGACTAGTCGTACAGAACATCGAGTCATGTCAAATTAGTGTTGGACGGGTAAGAAAAGGTTACACCCTCTACTGGGGTGCCTGTGTTTGCTGTTGTTGGGGGCGATATCCACCATTATTACCGCCCCGTCCTCCGCGGAATCCACGTCCACGACCTCCACGGCCACGGCCCCGACCGCCGCGATAACCACGGTAACCACCGTCGACGCTGCCTTGGCCAAAGGTCTCAATGTTCTTCCTCTGTTCCTCTCCACGCCACTCACGGCCGCCCGGCTTCTGAGAAGCATTCTCCCTGTCCTTCAGGTCGCTAGAGATGTTGTCAAAGAACGACCGCTGCTTGTTGTAAGCGGGTTCAACCGCTTCGGTGCTCTCAACAGGGGCTTCGGGCGCAACAGCCTCTGGGGCGGGAGCTTCCACAATTGGCGAGCCACCAGCGATAGCCTCACGGACAAGGTCCTGCTTGTTGAACTTGGCATTCGCAGTCGCAAAATCGTAGTCGGAATCGGGGACCTCCACCTTGGCAGCAGGGCGAGCACCTCCACGTCCACGTCCGCCTCCACCGCGAGGGGCATGACCACCACGAGCCGCATTGACCCTCATCTCGTTGACCTTCTTGGTCAAGTTGTCAACAGCAGCGCCCTGGCTGGCAATTTGAGCGTATGCATTGTTCTCCATCTGAGCCATCGCATTGGCAACGGCTTCCTTGGCAGCCTGAGTGGCATCGCGCAATGCAGCGGGTGTAGCGCCGGCATTGTTCTGCTCGGATCTGGTGGCGGAGGGCGATGGCTGAGCAACTCTAGAGGTCAAGCCAACTGGAAGGGGGATAGCGGGCAGAATCTGCACAGGGCGATCGCTCTTGGGACCTGTGGGAATGCCCTGAGAGGAAGCCGGAGCAGTAGGCTGGGCGAGATTAGCTGCCGTGGCCTTGACTTCCTCGGCAGTGGGCTTGGAAGCGACGGGCGGAGGAGGTGCCGGACCACCCGCAGATTGCTGAGGTGGGATCATGGGCTTGGACTCCGAAGGCTGAGCATTGTGTCCTGGAGTCGGGGCCTTCTTTTCTCCAGAAGGACCGATGGGTGCGGGCTTTTGGCCTGGACCCTGGTTGCTGGGCGTCTGGTCAGCCGACTGACGACCTTGTCCAGGTGCACCAGGAGCGGCAGGGAAACCGGGAGGACCACCAGGAGCACCAGGGCCACCAGGACCACCAGGACCAGGAGGAAACTGAGGATACGGGTTCCATTGCCCGGGACCCATTGGCGGAAACTCTTGTCCCGGCGGGAACCACCCCGGCTGCGGGTAGGGCATGCCAAAAGGACCGGGACCACCTGGACTACGGGGCCTGGACTGGGACCACCGGGGCCACCAGGAGCTGGACGTCCACCCCATCCTCCCATGTGAGGAGGGAAGTAGCCATAACCAGGTGCGCCTGGAGGAGGCTGCGGCTGGTTCGGAGCGCCGTGCGGGCCTGGGTGCCCGATGGGACCGGGACCTTGTGGAGGGCCTTGAGGACCACCAGGTGGGCCAGGAGCGACGTTGCCAGGCCGAGGGCGAGCCTGAGTGATTTTGGTCAGCAGTTACTCCACATAGGGCTTGAGCTTTGCAAAGAGTGTGCGTGGCCAGATGATCAGAAGGAAGGCAACGGAAATTATCAACATGGGGTTTTTGCGCTTTTCAGACAAATATGTTTTTACATCCGAAAATATTTCATCATAACAATGGCCATGGGCAGAACAGTGAAAGAGAAAGGGTAGACTCACACCAACAATGGCAGGATCGTTGGGGACAGCCGGCGGCTTGTTCTCCTTGGCGGCGGGGCCCTCCTCGATCCTGAGATCCTTGACATCCGTTCCGCGGAAGACAATGTACTCGTAGACCTGGTCGGAAGGGGGGACCTCTTCCTCGATCTTGCCCTTGCGGCCCTCAGTGCCAAACGTCCTCACATTTTCGAGCGAGACAGTCGAGTCATCCGAGTTGATGCTCGCAAGTGTGCCGACATAGCGGATGTCGCTCTTGGATATGAGGGATATTCTGGATCTGTATTCGAAAGAGTTAGCAATCAGTCGAAGAAACAGCAAGAGTCGGCAACAACGAACCCGATATAATCGGACATGGTGGCTTATTAGGGCGCGAAAAAACCAAATACAACCGCCTGCTAGAATGAGGGCACGCGATAAATGGTGACTTTGAAAGTGCTGGTAGTGAAGCGACTTGTTGGGGGGGGGGGGGGGGTATTAAACCATGTAAAAGAGAAAGATGAGAATGAAAACAGAATCGCTCCGCAGAGACGATTTTCCTGGTGTTATGATGGTGTCCGGCTGGAGGCGTTGTGCAGCATTGTTTTCGCCGTTGGTTAGGTTTGAGAGAAAGAGGGAGAAGAGCACCGATGCGAGAGAGAAAAACCAGCCTATGAAAACTCGGCAGCTTCAGCCTCCCGCTTTTGAGCTCTAGCGCCAAGGCCCGTGCGACCTCCGCCCCTCCCCCCACCACTTTTTGGGTGCAGCTACCCCAGAGCACCGCCACTTGGAGGTGGGTTCTGGCCAGCAGTGCTTGCCAGCAGGTTGACGGTTGCCAGACAGTGGGAAAGCTTGAATGCACTGCACAACACCAAACATCAAACATCACGATGATGAACCGACAAGCAGAAACAGGTGTGAGGAAAAGGAGAAAAAAACACTTACCCGTCAACACCAATACCGACAGATCTAGTGATTATATGTAACGATAAGGTGCGCTCGTATACCCGCCGGCGTTGGGGTCCAGCCTTGTTCCAGTCCGCCATATCGCATACTCTACAACAGAGGTGCAGAACTGAGCAAAAGGTCGAAAATTTGCTCAGAAGATTCATGATATATACACTTTAATTCATGATAGATATGCTTTATTTTTCGTAAAACTTTTCAAAGTCAATCCACGCCAATCTGAACATTACCCAAGGAGCCTTTTCCGCCATTTCCAGCCGCAATGCTTAACCATAAATCTGATATCCAACCCCAAGCCAAAAACCCCCACGAGTGCTCCCAAGCCAAAGAAAACCATGTGGTACTCATACAATAACCGACTCCGCCTTGAGGATTCTAATAGCTCCTATAATTGTGCAGGAATGGTTGTGTGCTCTGGTTGCTATACCCCGAATACCCAGTCTGTCCCGAGAACCTGCTGTTGAGACTGTCGTAGCTCGTCTGATGCTGCTGGCTGTGCTGGTATTGGTGCCGTGGATCTTGATTAGTCCACTGGGCATACGTGAATTGACCCTGCTGTTGTTGCCACGGCTGGCCCCAGGCAGCATTTGCCGAAGGAGGTGTCTGAACAACCGGAGAGACATAGCCAAAGCTCTGGTCCATTGGTGGTGAGGCTACCAGACTGGCTGGACTGAAGGTTTCAAGAGGTATCTCCGTGATATCGTCACTGTGACTCCCTTGGCCGTCGCCCTTCTTCATTCCCCCGTACTCAACGTTTGGATCGGGTTGTTTGAGCCGCTTGGTGCTTGTTCCGGTGTAATGTGGACCCTTCTCACCCCAAAACATGCATCCAGAATCCGCCCATTCGTCAATAATGTCGGCGATAGTTTGGATGTGGCCGTATGTTGGCGGCAAGTAACCTGATGGGCGCTGCAAAGACAGGAGCAAACCAAACAAGGCGGCCACCAAAGTTAGGCCACCAAAGTAAAATATTTGTGAGGGGTACATGTTGACCCCCAACTGAAATTGGAGATTAATAGCCAAACCGAACATCCAGTGAACACCGGATTTGAGAGTAAACAAAAAAATTGTTTGCCATGAGGTGAAGGCTTCCACGACGGAGTTGAAGTGCCCGTTGGTGCCTCTTGGTCCGATCAGCTTCCTGTATATGCCTTCGTCCCGTGAAAGATTCACGATCAGTTCGGCACAGTGAAGAGAGAGTGTGACCACAGACTGGATCGCAATGATGAGGAAGACGCCACCCGTTGTACCAGCCGCACCACCGGAGGTACTCCAGCCCAGGTTCAGTACTGATGTCCCGTCAGTACATTGCTTAGTGTGGCAGTTCTCGTCTATGTGAGGTGGAAACTCTGGGAGAAGACTCCATGACCGCCCAAAGATTCCATTTTTACTTCCACGTAAGAGGTAACCGTAGACACCGCCTCCCCAAACGCCGCTCAGGATTGGAAGAGCCCACAAGAGATACAACACACGGCGGACATGGGGATGTGCTGTAATCATTGGCCTTTGCTTTCGAGTAGGTCGGATGGCCTTGATGTCATTCCCTGCCAGGTGAACTCCCATCATACAGCGGCCTTGGCGAGGCATAACCTGGTAGTGTTCGGTATCATGATTCATGCACGTGTTCGCAATGATGAGCGGGTTCGAGCTCCATGTGGGAATCTTAGTACCCGCCAAGGCCCAGTTGGTAACGGCGGCTTGGAGGAGAAAGCCGCAGCCGAGAATAATGAGAGCAATGCCGTTTAGATGGACACCCCTTGTGTCGGTGATTTCGTAGGACTTGCCTAGCAGACGGGCGAGTTCGGGGTTAAGGCTCAAGAATATGACAGATGTAGCACCGTAGGCGAGTATGATTCCGAAAAGGTAGAGAAAGTTGGGGATATAACCGTTTGGGGGACTTTTCTTGGAGAATGTGAGTAGACGCAGGTTCGAGTTGAAGTCTAGGCTCCCTTCTCTTATGAGAGACCAACGGAGAGCAACGGCATGGATGTATCCCATGCTATCGTTGAGTAGGGTAACTTGGAGTCAGACTGTGGTTAGCTGTCCTGCAGTACCAGCCAGGGAAGGAGTTTTGCGACAACCTACTGAATATGTTCAGTCCGAGAGGGAGAAGTTCTCTCCATCTGTTGGACAAGTCGATCCGGATTGAATCGTCATCGCGGACCTCCTTGTAGAGACATAGTCCACCTCCGATGATACTGCCTACAGCAACAAACCAACACAAGACCAAACCAGTCACACACGCCCGGCGTGTGAACCTGCTATCATCGTACTTTTGGGCAGACATGGAAGCGAGCGACTGTGCCCGCTAGTCGGTCGGGTGATTCAGATGGACAAACGTAAGTGAAAGCCCAACCTCGAAAGTTTGGCGGACAAAATGGAGAGAATTACCACTTCAAAAAGATGGGATTTGGAAGCAATCGGTTGCTGCAAGAAAGAGACGGAGAGAAAGGGACCAAATAGGAAATCTTGCCCACCGCATTTCCAAACCCCTCAGCATATCAACACCGAAGGTTGAGCCTGCAGGGGTATTCTCAGCCCCTCGAGGCTGGCGACAAGAGAGCCCAGGCCCAAGCAGACGGGTATCAGACTAGCGACGCCATGCATGGTGTCTCTGAACAATGGCAAATGTCAACCACTCGGCTGCAACGGAGAGGAGAGCTTGATACGCTGGTCCATGGAGGCAGGAGCCTTGAGAGGTCCAGACCTGGAGCCAGCCAACGAAGTTGCGAACATTTGTCTGGAGCCAAGAGGATAGGTACTGGGCATTGGACACCGCTATTGCTGTAATCAATTAACATCGAGACCAGAAATGTAAAAGATGTAGAGGTATGAGTGTGTCAACCCCCATCGGAGGTTGGCTACAGTTGTGGTTTATGTCATGTTCCTGTCGATCATGAAAGAGCTCCCAAACACAGTGCATCGTACAGTGCGTAGTGGCATCTTCAAGACGGCGATGACTCCATCGGCAAACCGCCTTCGTTCCATTTCGCCTTCGCCGTGCAAAAGCAGAAGGGTGAAACCAGAAGAGTGAAATCCAATACATCTGACAGTATCACTCCGAGCTAGCCAATTTACAAGCGTCAGCATCGCAACTTGAACAACTTTGCTTTGCTTTGGTGGCTGCCATCAAAGATTGGGTGCTGCCCCGCCATACTTGTTGCTTACCCCTCCACTTTTATGTCTTTCATCAGTTTAGCCAACTGTCGGCAACTCACTCGCTGTCGACAGAACAACCTCTTCTCATCAAACCACAAAAAATGGCGAGTCGACAATTACGCAAGCTGCGAAAGCAGCAAGAACTCTTGAACTCACAGAATGAAGCCCCTGAGACAAAAGTAGAGACCAGCGAGGAGGAGGAGGAGGAGGTAGTGGCGAAGCCCCGCGGCAACATGTTCTCCTTCGCAGCGCTCGGGGACATGGGTGACGGCAACGACGACGACGACGACGACGACGATGAGGACGAGGAACCAGAACCATCAAAACCGGTAGAGAAGGAAGTTGCCAGTCCACAGGCCGAACCTGCCAAGAAGAAGTCCAAGAAGAAGAAAAAGAAGAAGGGAAAGCAACCATCAGAAACCCCAGCAGCAGAGCGCCCCAAGGCTAGGGAGGATGAGCTGGAGAAGGCACTCAAAGAGCTCAACATCAAGGCCAAAAAGCAACGGGCCGGCGCTGCATCAGCGGCAAGCTCATCAAAACAAAACCCGGACGACCAGCTCAACGACCTCTTGAAGATCGACAGCCGACATCTCAAGGCCGCGAACGAGATGCGCCGTTTGTTCGGCAAGGCTATGGATCTCGCCCAGGTGGAGGAACGCCAGGAAACCCGACAGAGAATTCTGCCAGAGAATCTTGATCTCGAGACATACCTAAGTGCTGTTGCCACCGACCCACGTCGCTCGGGGCCGGCGAAGCCGGGCATGTTTGAGACGCTCCTCCGCACCAACCCTTTCATCGAGGGCAAAAAGTCGTGGCCTAGGGGTGCGGCTCAGGGGCTGATCATGAAGCGCCTCAGCGAAGGCACACCTGATGTGGTCGAGTTCACGTTTGCCCACGAGAAGGCCTACGACGATCTTGAGGGGTCGTTCTTTCAGCTTGTCCAGATGGGAGACCCCATGCAGATCATCCACTTCTTGCACCGGAACCCATACCATGTGTCGTCTCTGATTCAGGGCAGTAAGGTTGCCCGACAGGACCAGAACTCAGCTCTCGCTGCTGATCTCATTGAGCGTGCTCTCTTCACCTTTGGCCGCGTTACGCTTAGTGATTTCCGCCGCAAACTTGAACAGGGCAAAGCCAGGATCAACTTTGCCAGGCCTGAAAACAGACAGTTCTACCTCGCTGGCTACAACTTGATCCAGAAGCTCATTCTCAAGGGCACCTATCGAACCGCCCTTGAATGGTCTAAGTTGTACTTGAGCCTCAACCATGATGACCCTTACGCCCTGCTCAACTGGGTGCCCGTTCTTGCGCTTCGATCCCGCGAGGCGGAGTGGTTTGTCAAGTTTTGCGATGCCCTCGCTTCCAGGTGGCCGGATGCGGTCTTGTATCCTCTCCATACTCTGCCCTTAGCCTACCTCCAGCTCGATGACTACGACACGGCGCACGAGACCCTCGTCAAGAACATCGAGACTCTGCCTTGGCTCTACGGCGCCTTGTTTTCCGCTCTCAGCCTAGATACTCCCCAGTCCATCTGGGGTCACACTCCGCGGAACGATGACGACAAACTTTATACAGAGCTCTACCTTCACATCTCCAAGGACCTCTGGAACAACCCCAATGCCATCTCCCTCCTCAAATCAGCAGCAAACAAGGCTAAGAAGCTCCTCCCGATAGACGTCTACAGATGTCCCCAGAGCCCAGAGCCAACGCTCGCAGTAGCAAGATTCATTTACCTCGACAGTACGCCGTCCCTCATGACCCTCGTCCCAAGGAAGCTGCTACACGATGCTTCTCCGAACTTTGAGTTCGACCCCTTGCCACCAGCGGCAGTAGACAACATTTTTAGCAGCGAGATTCAAAAACTACCCTGGAAACCCGATTCCATTGCTACGCGAGGCCTGTTTAGCACCCAAATGGACCCTCGCAGAGAAGCCGGGATGCGGGCGGCAGCCGAGCGGTTGCTAGCCGAGATGCCCCAGGAGGAACTCGAAGCTATGCTCGAGGTTGATGACGGCGGTGGAGGCGGGATAATGGGCTTCTTTAACGCGTTGATGGGTAGGGTCCGACCACGCGCTGCTGGGGATGGGGGTGCCGCTGGACAGGGACAACAGCCGCGAGGACCGTTCCAGGCTACGGTTGAGGATGGGGAGGAGGAGGACGACGACGACGATGACGATGATGATTCTGATGATGAGGACACCACCGAGTTTGGGGGTAACTGGGATGGGCGGACGAGGCATGACCTTACGTTTGGCGTTGATGAGGAGGATGATGAGGAGGCGGAGTGGACGGATCCGGAGGACTTTGATGGGGAGGGGGCGTTTGGGGAAGGACCGAGTATTGCGGAGGTTATGGAGTATATGAGGATGAGGGTGGGGTATCCTCCTGTTCAGATGCCGGGGGCTTGGATGTCGGATGAGGAGGATGAGGAGGAGAGTGAAGAGGATACTGATGAGGAGATGCCGGCGTTGGAGGACCCCGAGATGGTGGATAGGGGTCAGGGACAGGGGCAGGCTCAGGGGCAGGCTCAAGGTCAGTAACAAGCACATGGTTAATAGACATCACGATGCAGTCTGTATACATAGGAGAACAGAGTCAATTGAGCCTTGAATTCGATATCATGGATCGATACAACGGTATTGCGAGCAAACGAAGTAGCACTGATAAGATACCTTCACCAATGCTTGGCAGACGGACTTCAGACTCCAGATATGTAGTCTGGTTCAGACCCAAACCGTCACATACGACCATAGGCAGTTGAAAATACGGGATCCCGTCCGCTCTCCCCTAGTCAAACAGCTGACCGGGTTCTTGTCTGTCGGGTGAGCCAGCGCCCCGTTTCTTTTCGCTGAGTCACCCCGCCGACGTTTTGACCTCCAGAAAAGGGCTCAACACCACCATTTTCAGAAGTCCCAACGGACAGCACCGTCTTGTTGGCTTCACCCCTACCGACTATTTTTTTCCCCCCCCACGCCGCGGTCTTCTATCATGGCCACCAACCCGTATTTGCGCGGGCCAGGGGGCATACCTTTGGTATTTTTGGACTGCAGCGCGGTTTTACTACAAAGTGCCCTTCCCTATTTATTATATCTGTTCGTTTCCCTCCTCCTCTTTTTTTCCCTGCCTCTTTGCCCTATGCATTTCGGTGGTACATATATATTCTAAGTGGAACTTGGAAGAGAGACGTCGCCGGGCTAAACAGCTTCTTAAAGTATACGCTAAAGAGCGCCGCGCCGGTACTACTGCTGGTAATGATAGCAATTCATCACGCAACATTTATCCCAGAGTCGAAAGTAAGCGCCTCTGGTGTTAGCGGTTATGGTGCAGGTAAGCTGTACGGCGATTCTTGTTCGTTAATGCTTTGGTCTAATTCTCCTGGAACTAGTTGGAACCGTGAAGTTGTTGAGCACACTGATATCCAAGCCGACAGTATCTGGGTCGATCTCTGCCGCAACTGTCGTGTTGCGAGAGATGTTTGCAAAGCATTTCTCGAGGATTATGTGATTCGGTCTATCATCAACGTTCCGACGCTTGACTCAGCAGAAGAGAAGAAGGAAAAACAACACGTAACAACCGCATTTACGGTACGTGAACTGTGTCCTGAAGCGCTGCCTTTCTCCGTCATAAGCCCTAGTCCGGTTCTTCTTCAGTCGACAATCTTTCCACTGCAGACAAGAGCAAAATTCCAACTCTAGATCTCAACATCTTGCTTGCATCAAAGAATATATCAGCATTCATACATCATCATCCTGGATATCGCCTCATTAATCGACACCGACTCGAATAAGTCGACTGTGTCGCCTACCCAGCAGGCTCCCTCCGCCTCGGCCCCCTCCTTGTCTTCGCGATTTGGCTTTGTGGTACCTGAAATCCCTCCGGCGTCAACTCCGACTTCGGTATTGCGTTCGAGTAACAAGCGCAGCAGGCCGCCATCCGAATTGCCGACACCAGAAAAATGCAAGTGGTCTACTGAGGAGGATAATAAGATTATCAACCTCCGGGGCCAAGGGAATAAATGGGACGATATCTCGAAGCTCCTTCCAGGACGGAGCTCTGTCAGTTGCCGTCTTCACTACCAAAACTATTTGGAGCAGCTTAAGCGGGATGAAGAGCGTAAGAATGAGTTTGCAAGGAAATACGAGAGGTAACTACCGACCCCTTTTTTTGTCTAATAGAGTATTGAAGGCAAAAAAAAGCTTACAAACTTCAGGCTCAAATCCGAGATGTGGACCATACTGGCAAAGGAAATGCCGGTCCCGTGGAGCGCCGCTGAGGCAATGCATTGGAAACTAGGCAAGACTGAAATGGCGAGGCGGGCGGGGGTGGTTCTGTCTTCAAGATATCACCGGTCCCTAGCCGTACACGAGAGTCTTCCGTCGAGATCTTCTTCCACTGAGCCCCTCGACAACGGCTATGGATCCACCCCCTCCACCACCACTGCCGACAACCTCTGCCCAGGCTACCGAGAACTCGACGGGAGCTCCTAGTGCCAGTCCCATCCACAGCGCTACCGTCAGACCTTGGCTTTCGCCACCTGGGTACGTATCATCTGAGTGTAAATGGAGAGCGGGAGTAAAATACAAAGTTGGATAGCTTGCAATAACAATTGAAGAATATTAGGGAGGCACTTGAACCATTGCTGTATTGTGTCGCTGTCAATGGACCATCGTCGGCATTCTTCTCTACCACTCAGATTGAAAATATTGATCGATCTCTATAGATTCATCGAGGCGATCACTGCAGTTTGAAGGAGCAAAGCCTCAAGGAGTATTAAAAGATAACGTGTGACTGATTCTCTTAATTATACTGTCTATATTCGTCCTTTGCCTTTGGCTGAGCACGAACAATCTTACGCAGTACACGGCTCCACCAGGCCGCCCGAACTTTTCTCTGCGGAGTCTCTCTGGTATGAAGTTTTGCAGCTCTTTCCACGTCAGGTTGTACCAGAAATCGAGCTTCCCTTTGTATTAGTGCCTGCTCCATCTCGCCCTTTAGAAGCTTCCGCGTATATCTCTGCACCTCTTGTTGAGCCTGCCCTGTTCCTCCCATATTTCTGCACTAGCTCACGCCTAAAATTTACCTGGAATGCTGTCCTATTAAATATGGCTCTTACTAGGTGCTGTTGACTTGTACTTACTGCATGTAGGTGAACGAACTTTGCTGTTACAATTGATGGTATAATGAAGACAAATATCAACCTACGGCTTTCACCGGCGAGGCCGATTTGTTTTCTGACGGTGCATTTCAGCTTTGTTTGGGGGCTTCCGTTTAGAGTTGTCGAACAAACCACAGATTTTCACATCATGGCCAAGATCCCAGGCTTCAGGTTTGCTGTCCGACCGGACGCTGTGGCTAATGTGGAACAAGAGCGCTAACATAGAAGACCTGGACAACCAGGACAGCTAGACCCACCACGCACCTGGCGAGCATGGCAAGTATGCCAGGAAAGCAAAATGTAGGCCAGGATGCAGGCCAGCATAGCAAAAAGAGGTGAGAAAGACGAAGCGGTATGATTGGACTCTGAATCACTGCATCAAAATAAGCCAATCATGTGGCTCTGCAAGGTGGACAGAAATTTACGTTAATGATGCCAGGGCCCATATATGGCTGCAACCTGGCTGGCGCGACTGCAGCGAAGTTTGATGGTGTGTGGTTGGAAGCCCAACACAAGGGTTTTTAACCTCGCGAAAAAGATTGAGTTCAGCAACCTCATCCCAGATGTAGTTTTCACCGCATTAGCCCCATTTGCCGCAGGCACGATAGAGGGCCACGGTCATGACAGAGATCTGCTCCCCGGATTGCAGTGGCGTCCATGTCGCATCCGCTGGGGTCTTGCATATCTTAGAGAATTCATCAGCATTTTTGCCCCGGGCCAGTGGATAGTAGGAGACTAATCACCGCTAGCTAGCCAGGCCCGGCTGCAAAAGAAACACTTGAAATCATGTAGACTTTTGTGCATGGTGATGTGAGTCAGGAAATTCAAACAGGGCAGGGTGGCACTGCTGTCATCTCAGTCACTTGGTTAGATGTGGATGGCATTGCTGTCTGCAAAAAAAGAAAAGGGCAAGGAGACGACTGGATGGTCGGGGTTGCGTCTCTAGGGATAGCGAAACGCTGTTAGCTGACCTGTCAAGAGATGAGGATGTCGCTTGCATCGGATAGGTGAAGTTATTCTCCCATCTTACGCCTCCGAAGGTAGACCCAGAGATAGGACCTTCCCCACGGTGCCAAAGATGCGGCTACTCTGCGAGCGACTTATGCGAACCATAAGGCGTCCAGAAGTTGCCGCTTTAGGGAGCTGTTTACATCGCCACGGTGGTTGGGGGCACTGAAGCCTGGTCAAAAACTCCAACAGCTCAAAGCTCCTTTGCATATGCTGTTGTGTTAATATGCTAAGCCTATATTTACGTCAATAATATCTTTGATTTTCCATATTTTCTTACGCCCCACTATCGCACCATTTAATGGATTTTACACATCTTCGGCGATCAGCAAAGAAAGATGCCACTTCAAATGAACGGTATGTACCTCTGCAGTACCCACTACGTGCTCGCTCACATGAATTAACCCAGAGCCAGGCCAGACGCCGTACTATCCTCCACACAGTTATCTGAACGACCCAGCTCCCCTCCGAAGAGATCCAAGACTCGCGGTATCTCGACAACATGTTTCACAGGTTTCCACTACACCAGCCCCCACTTCCCACCGCCGACCACCTTCAACATCTCGGAGCTCCCGTGCCAAAAACACTGGACTCATCAAGCAACCAAACACTGGACCAATCTCCCACGACCAGCTGGTTGCTGAAGTGAAAGGAATCTACGCTGGCCTGGTCAGGGTGGAGAGCAAATGCATAGAGGTTGATAACGGTCTCAACTCGCAAAATGATCGGCTCCCGGCAAGCTTGGAGCATATGTTGATGTTTATTTACCTTGCGTATTTAATGATGGCGCTTCTCTACGAGGCTGTGCCGGCTTTTGAGGATACCTTGGGTAGAGTGTCTCGGCGACCTTGGGCGTTATAGAATGGCTATCGAAGAGGACGATATTTGGGACAGAGAGCACTGGACTGCTGTAAGCCGTCATTGGTGTTCCAAGGCCTCTAATAAGGCTCCAACGACTGGGCGGTTATATTACCATTTGGCTATTCTAGCCCGCCCCTATGCCCTTTAGTAACTTTATTATTACATGAAGTCCCTTTGCGTCCCAATTTCCTTCGGCCCTGCTCGCGAGAGTATATTGACTCTGTTCGACCCGATTATGGCTTTAAAGCCCTATTTATTTTATTCCAAACTCTTAGTCGCCGAGTTTGAATCCGTTAGTGTTTGTACTCTCTTTTTCAGTGGTAAGTAGATGGATAATTTGCCTTTAGCTATGGATGACTTCCTCCAGTCCCTAAACGGCTATATTACTCGATCCGGTCTTAAGTGGCTCGAACCTAGATATTATATGGGTATTGCAAACTACTGCAGCTTAGTAGGCTATAGTAGTGAAGTAAGCCCGATTGCGAAAGCTATGAAGCAGCCCTGCTGGGACGACGATGAAGCCTGAAATTAGCTAATGTATGGAAGCGAAATCGACTCTCCCACCCCTGAAGAGTTTGTTAATACCCTTAAGCTCTTTTGTAAAACTTACGATATTGTTCTACGCCGGGATAATGACCCTAGCGTTTTTATTTTATTTCTTTACGTTACTCTCGTTTTTGTTTATCACCTTACGTTCTATCCAGAAGCTATTCGTTATGTGGCATAATAATTCCCTTAGAAACGCACTGTGTCGATGATGAATGCATTGCTTGGCTTTTATAAAAACTATAGTCGCATTGAAGAAAGCGCTCTGCCTAGAACTGAGTTTCAGAAGCCATTGCCCGAAGACTACGCCATGCGAGGACTTACATGGGCGGACAGAGTGTCCCCTATTACTTTCTTCTCGAAGGAGAAGATCGACGATGACGAGAAGTACGTTGAGTTTCCTTTCACGGCTGAGGAGCGCAAGGAGCGCGTATGTGGCTGGGACACAAGATTGCCAGTTCGAGCAAATGGCTACGGTATAACTCGTCGATTCATGAGTTCAGCGTTGATGACGACGAGGGCGACGAGGGTGACGAGAGTGACGAGGGGGGACAGGGAGGAGCGGTGGAAAAGGAGCGGTGGAGGGGAAAAGGGAGTTGGGAGGAAGGATAAGGGCGAGGCAGCCAATTTCTACTCTTTAAACGCAACAGGGCCGGCAGTCACGCATTAAATACATTATAGAATGGAATTCCTAATTATCAGCCCGCCAACTGCTGGCCTTTCCTCCTCTTTGCCCCACTAAATGAAGTGTCTGGAATGGCCGCTTGCTGCTCGGCGGTACTCGACTGGCTGAAATCCTGGGAAAGCCCGGTCGCCTCAGAAAATGGTGGGACATCAAAGTCCAAATTTGACGGCAACTGATCGATGGCAGAACAGATGTTCTCGAAATGTTTAGGCACCCATATGTCGTAGAGGTTCGTTGTAAACTGATATGCCGTCCGTTTGTCCTTTCCGTCAAGCTCGATAAAGCTAAAATCACGTATGAGATGCCGGTAGTAGCTGATGTCTTCCCCAGTTGTTACTGGGTAGTGGCCGTAGAAATACGGAAAAGCTCGACAATACCCCGCACCGCAAGGGTCATGCTGTGGGCGTTCTGCCGGTCTGCAATATCAAGTGCCCCGGCGCCGCATTTCACCTCGCAGGTTAGGAACGGGAAGTACATACAGTATGTAGCCATGAAGAAAGACTGATCTCCGGCGATGAAATTGCTAATGAATGGCAATAGCTTAGCGAGCTGGTCTTTAGTAAATGCATTTCGTTTAAACCCAACGGAATAATCAGGCTGTGGACGGGTGCTAGTGAAAGGGATCGAGTTATTCCACCCTTCGTTAACGCTCTCTGTTAGGATGTTAAGGTGTTTTGCACCGAATGCTGCAAGAATTTCAGCTGAAGGAACAATAAGCCGGTGGATGTCTAAAATAACTCGCGCCTCATTTTTATTATGTATATTCTCGCATATCGTTTTAAAAATATCGTTGCGGAAGAGTGTATCGCCGGGAACTGGCTGCGTTTTCTCCAGGAGAGACCGACAAAGAGCCTTGCTGGCGCTGGCTAAACCTAACGGAGCTTTAGTCATGTAGCTGCCTTTGACCTCGAGCAGGGTCTCATAACGCTGGTCACGGTATGGCGCGCTCTTTTCCTCCCTCGGCTTCTGGTCGCTAGGCGTCATGGATGTAGCGGAGTTCGATCGCTTCAGAGACAGATTGGAGGAGGATTTCTTTCGCGCAAGTGGGAGATCCATGGTAAAATTTGTCTTTGAGGTCTCTTCTGGCCAGTCCTCTGGCCAGTGTCCCTCCTTCACCCAGAACGCAATTGCTGGCTCACCAAATGCGTCTTCGGTAGGGCATGGAGGGGATGTCCGTTGCCGCTTCGGGTCTGGGCTGGCCTCGATGTGTTCGATTGATTGCTTGCGATTGCGGCCTCTGCTCTGGGAAGACGCCGGTGGATCCTGTGAATCCTGTGCCCAACTGAGCTTGTGAGCCATATGATATAAATCAGAGAAATCGTACTTGTGGAGATGGTGTGGTTGGATGCGCCTGGTTGCGCACGGCGCGCCTGGTTGCGCACTTTCGAGAGCTACCTTTAGGCTGCCGGATGCCCCTGGGTCGATTTCCTGCAAGTGTCAAAAAGATCCTTTGGCACTGCAAAGAATAAAGTACCTTGGTTATTTGATGCCGGCGATATAAGCGCCTTCTGGGCTCGAGTGCGGGCCATGGCATGAGAACGGGGGGAGAGTGAGGTCCTGGTTATGTGTCTGGCAAGAAGGTCTTGAGATGGAGTGATGTAAGGGTGTGGATGGCTGTGAACGCCTGGGATCCACTGTTGTCGACCAATCATGGAGCGCCTCCGGAGGGAGTTATGTGACTGGAGCGCGTCTGATGGCGGAGAAGCCATGAAGCGTTTCCTTGTACGATCGAGTTGCTCGGGATCATCGACAAGTGCTGCCAGAGCGGCTTTCGCTACAGACACACTATTACCTCGGATGCAATCGGCCATGATGTCTGTCGGTTGTCTCAGCGAGAGTAAAATGTCGAGATTCCGAAGCTAGCAACAAGCCATCATGGAGAAGTCCTCGAGAAAAAATGACTTAGCCGTGGGGGGGGGGGGCACCGTCTAGTGGGGCACACCCATAAATAGGCACAGAACCCATTGGTTTGGCGCACTTGCGGGTGCGACACAGTGCGGTGGTGTATGGTTGGCTCTCTAACTTCCCCCCCAAAATCGAGACCTCAACCACCAGCGACCTGAAGCAGTCCAAAGTCATGACTTTATTAACCTGCCGTGGGCCCCCAAACCCCTTTTCCCAACGATACTTCACTGCCCGATTAATTTCCTAAGGTATGTCTCGCCCACGTCCTAAACCATATCCTCACGCGTTGTTTTCTCTCAAGCCTGTCAACGAGCGGGCGAAAAAAGTAGTTGTGCATCCCTGTAACAACCACCTCGTCTCGACACTGAACGACGGCACACTTGCTCTCGATATCGGCCACACCTGATCCCAGTTATGCGGCACACTTGCGATCCTAGGCCGGGGGGAGAAGACTGATATCTTTGTAGAAGGTTCCAGCATCTCGAAGTCCCAATGCTCTTTTGAGATCGACTCTGAAACGAACGTGATTATACTATGCGACAGATCACATGCTCAAATGACACAGGTTTTCGGCGAGAATACTATCCCATTCCAGCACGGACGCCTTCGAAAAGTCGTTATACAAGAAGGCCTCAATGATATAGTTAGGATGGGTAGCACCAAACGAAATCTCGTCCTGTTCGAGCTAAAATAGCATCAAGATCATGCACAGACAGTGGAAAGGGTCAGACGTCGAGAGACGCAAAATTATACGGAAAACCCCCGGCTCGCTCGGACCGTAGACATGTCAAAGACCGTCTTACCATCTCAGATAGAGACAAGACCCCATACACCCGGGCTGTAGAAACTAAGGATGCGGTATAAAAAAATAACGGAGCTCGGGGTTAGACAACTCGGAACCATACATAAGGCCATCGATATGGACTCGGGCAAGTTCATAGCTGTCAAATATTGCGACAACCATCGGAAAAGAACCAGCGGAGGCACTTAAAACGAGAAGTTAAGGTTCTTTCCGAAATCAGCCACGTATGTAGCCATTCCACGGTCCATCATACGCTAGACTAATGTAATGCCAGCCACATATCGTCGAGTACATCACGTCACAAGGCTGGGAAGAATCCCAGTTTGCAATCGTGCTATTCACGCCGCCACTTTCGCCGGCAGCCCGCTTTATGTGGCTCCTGAGGTTCTGAAAGGGGGGGGTCCAGACGCAAAAGATAGACATCTGGGCACTGTTCGTCACAATGCTGTGGACGCTGGATGTCAATGGATTCCGTCAAAAGTCACAACAGTTCAGGTCCCTAGAGGATCTTCATTACGCAGTCTCGGCGGCGGTGGCAGGCTCACCTATAGACACTATTCAAGAAATGGCGAGGGTCGACCCGGACGGACGTGCTTCTGCAGCGCAGATGCTTGTCAAGTGCTTCGACGGAGCAGGACTCACCACTCCACGAAATGAAGTCCCGGCTATCTGCCTAGTAAGACTGGCCAATGCCTCGACTGAAGCCCGTCCTACTAACGTGGCTCGACACATTCAGAAGCCTCGCGCTTCTGTTCGAGGCCAACCAAAAAATAGAACCGCACGGAATCTGGCGGCCGCCAGACCAGCTCGTAAGCAAGCACCTTTCCAAAAAAGACTACCTCATTAAAAGCCGTTCTAATGGCATTCGGATCTTCGGATGGAACCAACCATCATCTGTTTTAGGTATTTTCTATTTAACATTTTGGGGCACTTGAATATAGTACTTGGAGCTTCAGTGACCCATCATCCGCCTCGTGCAGATAAGTTTCAGGCACATGGTGACAACGCCGTTGGTGGAAGGTTTATCGCAGTGTACCTGTGGCGTGCACGCCTTGGGCGGTTCACTTAAGGATATAGGTCACTGTCGTTTCCGTTTGCATAAATTATTATACACGTGTACAATATGACAGTTGGGGACCTGTTGGCGCAACCACATCACATCAACTCCTTGGTGTGTTTATATCATTTGGTCCAGAACGGTAGAAAACGGGCCTATCCTGTCCGTTAAAGAGCCACTTGGCGGCACAAGTTCTTCCACATTCCGATGTCAACAATATACCCTTTCCGCAGTCTCCTATCCACGCAGGTTAGCTACATGATCGCCAGGTCAGTACTCAGGTGGGTGACCACTGGGGAATCCCTGGTGTTGTATGTTTTCTGGCATTTTTGGGGTCCACTTGACTCCATTCGACGGCTCCATTTTTGTCTGTCCCAGATCGCATCTCCCGAACTGCTTGGCCTCCTATTGCACGGAGTGTCTTTGTCCGCAGGTAACACAGCCAGCTCAGACTCGGGTATCACGTCTCCTTGTTATTTTCATGGGAAACTGTTAGCTCTCGTGTATAGGGCAGGAATCATCTCAACCTCAAAGCTGTGCCTTGTTTCAAAGTGAGTCAGATATGAGCATGTTTCAAGTTCTGGGCAGAGGTGTGGATAGAGGGGGAATTGCATTTGGCGAGATAGTCCAAGGCCCTTTGATATTTGGGGTCTTCATAGCGGGGTACTCAGCAAAGGCAATGCGATACCTCGAACAAGCTTTGGAGCTCAAGACCTTAAGCTTGCACCACAGAGGAACATTAATAATCCTCACCAACTAAAGCAGCCAGCAAAGATTCCCATCGCGCGCAATCATAAAAGGCGCAATCGCAATCTGGTCTCTCTCTCAGGTCTCTCGAGCCTTTTCCCCCGCTGGCGTCATCTTGATTTATCATTCTGCCCCGCCTTTCCCTCCCCCCCCGGGGGGCCCCTGGGAATAGGAAAATACCAAAAAAAA